GACCTCACCGCTCTTACTTACTTTCATAGCGCGCTCGTCTCCTTTTTCATCTATCGTCGTAATGTGCCCACCTTCTCCGCTATAAATCCAGTTAAGTGAACATAAAAATTATCGAAATAATGACTCTAACCTGTGTTGGAAATCCACAAAGGAGGTGTCTGGATGGAAGAGAAAGAAATCTCATCGATGGAGGTGATCCCATTGGCGGAGGTGATCTTTGATCAACTGGACCACGCTCATACACAAATAACAACGTTAAAAATTATTAAGTTAATTAAAATAGGCTAACTCATACAAAACGATAATCAATAATTATATTTAATTCACATACCCAATCTCGGTTCAAGATGGAAACGGACATTTGGTCGTGTTGAGTATGCGGAATGGCTAATTCACGCACAAAATCTCGACCCTCATCATCCATCGATGACGTCTACTCAGTTAGGATTTCAAGTTGACATATTGATAGTTCAAGTAGTGAATAATCATATAATGAAATGTTAAAATGACATACAATATATTGTAAATGTGTAATACTTACACGAGGGTCGTCGATGAGGGCTGAAAACTGCTTGCCAGATGGACATTCGTGTGCTCTAAATGCTCGCCATGATGCATCTGAGGACAGCGTGTCTCTTCTCGCCTCGCAAATCAAGTACCCGAGGGGGGACCGTCTCATATGCTCATATCCGCAACACATACAACTATTATATATAAATTGAGTATAAAAAATATTTTAATGTTGATTATGTTAAACATTAACCTGCACTGCTAGGGACAATCCATAAGTATTGCACTTATACATGGACTTTTTAGGCTTCAAGTGTGATCTAGTGAGGACATGTACGATGTCCTTAAAATATTTTTTGCTCCACGAATAGTTGTTGAAGGCATCAATGTCTTCAATAACTTCCAAATGGGAACATGTTGATTGCAGTCTTTTGGTGAGACACCTCATCATGCTCTCAAAGATGTAGACCAGTTCTAGTTTCAATCTGTCCAATATCTGGCTGCACTCCCTGATTGCGTCAATCAGTTGCGGTAGAAGCATCGTCCCTTGTCCCTGAAAATTCTTCTCGTGTAGCCTATTGTTTCTTTGAGTGCCGTCAGTAGCTCATTGTCGCTCATTATCTTCAATCTACTCATGAACGCAAACTCAAACATGGAGAAAGTAGCGACCTTGCCCATGAGGTCGAAGTGGAGGTCATCGCCGTCGACTTACCTAAGCAACCGACATAGTAATGCATAAATGATTTGGCCAAAGTACTGCTTATTTCTCAACTTATACATGGGGCTACATGAAGGACTGACGTAGGATATTTGCGTTCTGATCATTAAGCAACTCCAATACAGTAGTAAAACTATCAAAGCTACTGTTCCAAGTACATTTTCCCGCCATTTGTCTTAACGTCATATCTAGATGATACTTTATCTTACAAAAATTAAAATATTAGAACTTTCAACAAAATATAATAGAATAAAGCAAAATCTCAAAAAATTAAGCGAATCGAATTACATACAAAAATAAAAAAGAAAAATAAATTAAAGAAGATAATAAAAAATTAAGAATTAAGAATAAAAAGGAATTTTAAATTGGAAAAAAAATTATTTATAATATGATGAAAATAATTAAAAAATTTTAAAACCATTTTCAAAAAAAATTATAATAAAAATAAAACAAATTAAACAAAAGGAAATTATGAAAATTAAATAAAGAATATAAATATTATTTGATTAAAATTAAAAAATTATATTTATCTTAAAAAGAAAGAGTTAAAAATAATTTTAAAATTAAAAGAAAATGAAGAAAAACAGGTGAGGAAAAAAAGGGAAAAAAAAAATAACAGTAGGTTTAGGCCAACATTCAAACGCAATTTTTTCGCAATTTTCGATGAGAATAAACTGTAAAATTACAAAATAAAAATCACTACTACACTAAATAATTACCTAATGAAGAATAAACATTATACACAACAATTTAATCCACCAATTTTTGAAACATAATAAATGAAAAATCAATCTCATAATCTCTAATAAAATTAACCTTGTTAAAGATAATGATGGGATTGTGTGGTGGTTGGCGTTGTGTTGACCATGAGGATGACTTATTTGACTAGATCCCGACTGTTGATTGCCACATTTTTCATGAAAAATATCTCATCCGAGAAAAACGAATTCCACTTTGGCCATTTAATTGCAACGTGGAAATGGAAATCGAATTACAAGGTACAACCATATTAAATTTCTTTTTTTTTTCATGGAAAACGAATTCTTATGAGTTTGATGGGTTTTTGTTTTTCAACTAATATGGAATTAAAATTTCTTTCCACCTTTGCCTATCAAACGAACCCTTAGAGCCTGTTTGATTGCAACAAATTCATGATTCACATCCAAGAAAAATGAATTCTACTTTGACCATTGATTGCAATATGAAAATGGAAATCGAATTCCAATGTACAATCACTTTAAGATCTTTTTGCCAATTTCATAGAAAATGCAT